CAGCAGCCCTGCTGTCTTTGCCAACCACGGACCGTGGGCGGTAGTGTGCCAAGTGTAGCTTATTGGCCCGCCCGGAGGGGGGCACAGTAAAGGCCACAGGTCCTTCGTCTTCTTGAATTCGAGAAAGCCAAGCACAACATCCGCCAGCTCCTTTGCTGTAATAAGGGGATCGGCAACCACTCGGTCCTTGGCGTTTTTGCCCGTTGCAGCGGAAGCGCCGTCCGCCAGCTTGACCGAAGCTGCAGCTGCTAAGGAAGCCATGCTCTCGCACAAGACTGTATATACTGTGTATGTATAGGATTTATGATTTCTCAAAAAAATGGAATGCATTTGTCTCTGTCTCCATCCAACCTCGCACTTACCTCTGGGTCTCGTCTGTGGACCCAGCACACAGCTGCAAAGTCCGAGAATTTTTCTCACTCTCGGATCTCAGAAATATATATATATATACATATAAGTTATATAAGTAGATTTCTCGCATGTAACCTACAAGAGTCTCGCACAGGTAAAGGTAGACTCCTCGCAGGTAACCTATATTGTGATTTCCCGCAGGTAAACCACAAGACTCTCGCACACGTACATGTACCGATTTCTCGCATGTAAAAAGCACACATCGCAAGCAATCCGCCGGCTCGACCCAGCACAGAATCAAACCGAGCTGCGATTTCAACATGGAAAACCACGGCTTAACAAGTATGCTTGCAACACAATTCTCATAATTTTATCTTCACACATGACCATGCCGCACTGTACAGTCGCAGGAAAATCTCATGCAATCAACAAGCAGAACCATGATAAAAGAAACAAAACCACCCAAAATTAGCCTGCATTTCCCTTCTTCAAATTCGGGAATGTGTAACCTAAAAACATGTATTTTGCAGTGTAAAAAATTTACATTGCAGTGTAAATTTTTTACTCTACAAAGTAAATTAATTTACACTTTTTTTTACGTAAATTTTCTTCGTAAATTTGAAGTGTAAACCAAGCTTTGTTTAGTAAATTGCTCGCCACCTAAAATTAGGTAAACAGCAGGGTCAGGGTAGAGACTGGGTCACCCAGCGGTAGAGGTGCTGGCAGGCATACCTCTGCTTAATGTACAGTCCGGCCGCAGTAAGGGTCTACACCAAGACTCGAGCTGCGCTCCCTTGGGACAGCAACCCGAAAGGGTGAAGCTATAAGCACCAAAGCCAAGAGCACGGGCGGTGTGAAGGCTTCTGCTGGGACCTTGGGGGGGGGGGGGGCAGTTAGTGGCCGTAGTGGGTGGTCTCTGGCCTACACTTAGGGTTTAGGATCTTAGGTTGTAGCTGCTAGGGGCCACTTTCTGCTTGGAAAGGGTGACGCCCTAGGCTGCGCCTGGCAGTTCGTAGGGGTTAGGTACCCGTCCCTCTCTTTGGCTTTGCCCTTCTAAAAATTTAGGCCGCTGCGCGGAGCTTGTTAAGATTTAGGGTAGCTTCTAAGCTCCTTAAGCTTAGTGGTTGTCTGTGGCAAAGCCAAAAGGGGGGGATCCCAAAACCTGCGAAGGGGGGAGGCATGAGCCACGATGCCTGAGATCCTTGCTGGGAGGCCAAAGTCACCAAGCGGCATTCGTTACCGGTGCTTTTTGGGGCCCCGCCATCGGCTGCCACTAGGCAGCTATTTTGCGCCATTGGTTCGCAGGAGCGCCGGCCTCGCTCTTCGACAGCAGTTTGCAGAGTATCAACGCCGAGTCACTACATACTTGGCACAATGCGCTTTCGATGGCTTCCGGGTCGCCACGAATTTCCAATTGATCGTGCGACTTGGATATCAAGTACGCGCCACTATTGTCCAAATCGATCTCGATGCTTTAGTGGTTGTTGCATCGGTGTCGCGCCTTGTTTATCGGGCCGTCATCGTGCAGTTCGAGGGCTCGGATTTCCTTCGCGCTGAGGCCATTCAGTCGGCATCAATTCACGCGCAGCCCTGGGCTATAGGGTGGCCTGGATTGATGAGACTGCCTTACTTTGCCATGGAACCGCTGGACGGGCTTCCACTTACTAGCCTACGACCTCCGATACCGGTTTGCATCCCACATTGCAGAGACCCGCCGTGCTCAGATTCGTCCCGGCCTTTGCGAGGCCCACTGTGGTGGGAAGCTGGGCTGGGGCAACTTTGCAAGATTGGGGCCAACCTTCCCTCTCCCTCCCGGGGGGGCTGGGTTTGGAGTCTCTGTGGCTTTTCCTGCCCTTGCGAGACCCATGTGTGGGAAGCTGGGCTGTACACGTGGTGCTGTGAAGAGGCTGCTTGGCCAGCACGGCATGGACCACGCTGCTTTATTCGCTGCGTTGTGTGTGATCTGTGGAGGCCCTTGCGAGGCCCACCTCGGTGGCTGGGCTTTATTGGATACTATGCTTTCTCGCTTTGGCTTGCCGTGCTCGGGTTGAGTACTGTGCTTTATATTGATTCCAACCAGGCGCCTCATCGCCGTGGCGTGTGTGCTCATGGGATGTCAAGCCAAGTGACCAGTTGATCAGGAAATTGCCTTCGGCTCTTGCGAGACCTGCCTTGGTGGGAAGCTGGGCCTGAATTCATTGTCACAGCACCACCACTGGGTGTGCTTCGCTGTCTTTTGCTCGGATGCTATATACGGCGCACGGCCCTTTTGTCCTGCTATTGCGAATTCTTGGGAAGCAGGCTTATGCACAGTGAACAGGAGGGCTGTCTTCTGTTGCCCTCCTCCATACGAAGGGGATTCATGCGTGTGCCATTGCGCAACTCAGTGTAACTGGGAAGCGGGGCATCTGAGCGGGGTAGTCGCTAGATTGCGTATGTTTTGCCGAACGACGTCTGCCGGCTAAGTCTGCTAGTCGCGGCCTGTCTCACCTTTGCTCTCTCTTCTTTGTACAGTATCTGTAGTTCTTGGCTTTCTTGTAGTTCTTGCTGGGACCGAGTGCAGCAACTTGCTGTCGTTGAGGCCCGCCCACGCGAAAAAACAATTCAAGAACCTTTTTGGTTTTCTTGTGCTTGCGAAAGTTTCCTCCCTTTTCTCTTCAGCGCTTTTTTGCACACATGTTGCTTGATTTTGCATTGCATGTATCGTGCTTGCGGGTTCTTTCACTTAGCGGAGTTCGGAAGTATTTGCGTGCAAAGCACCCTGACTATTTTCTTTCTCACGAAACTGCCATTACTCAGCAAAATGGAAATCCTTCATCACATCGCCGTGCCAAGCTTGCGGGAAATCACATTGTCGATCGCCGTCAACATGCAGGCAATTGTCTTGTGCTTTTGCAGTTGATGCTCATGTCGTGCATGTTGGTTGGCAGACGGACGACAAGGGCAAGGACGACAGGCAGCTGGAGGGCAAGTCGAAGGCGCTGAACAAGCGTCGTCGCACAAACGACAGTCCCGCCTGGACATTGGACTTCGTCAGGAAGCGGAGCCCCTTTGGCAGATTTTCACGACGTGGGTGGACCTCCAGGCCTGGGTCCTCGGGGCCGTTCGGATTCGGCCTCACAGGCTGAAACGCCCACCTGCAGCCAATCGTCTATCAGTCTGGCTTGGCAATCGCTGAGGCTCTGCTGCCACAGGTGCCTTGCCCCGCGCGGTCTCTTTAATTTGCTTTTCTGGAGGTCGCTGTTTACGGGGTGGAGCAGGCCCGACCAGCAACACGATGCACGGAGCTCTTGCTTCATTTGCTGCGCAAGGGGTCTGATGCTCCTTGGGTGAGTCGCTGTGACAGATTTGAGGTTGAGGATTCGGGCTCCAATGTCATCCTGATGCCCATTGCAGGTGCTGGTGATGCAGAGAGATACACTCTCCAAGAGTGTGTCACCGCCTGGCATATGAAACCTTCGCAGCTCTGGGAGGGCAAAACCTGTCTTTATTGCATCAGTGAGTTTGAGACTCATGTGTGCATTGTGTTGCAGCGATTCCAAGTCAATGCAGCGGCGATCACTAAATGCCATGTTCCGGTGCAGGTGGATGCCACTTGTGAGTTGCCGGTAGATCGAGCTGGAGTTGTTGTGTGGCAGCCTTTTCAAGTATGTGCGATGACTTATCACATTGGCGAGTTACCTACCAGTGGTCATTACCGAAGCATTCTTTACTTGAATGATGGGCTGCAGCTTGCAACTGAAGACAGAGTGAAAGCTAAGAAACTGATTGCGAAGGATCGTAGCTTCGGCAGTGCTGGCGCTTACATCGTTGTCCTCAAAATTTTGATTGTTGCTTCTGCATCGTACTCGTGTGTTTCACTGACGGCTCGCTGACACTCGTGTCGGGGCGCCATGCTGGCACTCGTGCCGATGGCTGAATGTGTGCGTAGCTGTACACAGTCACTGTTACATGTAACATGCATGTGACATGTCGTGACGGGGTCCAAATGGACTTGTTCTTGTGCCACTTGCGCGCAAGGTGGAGACCGCAGCTCTCGCCCGCGTTTTCAAAGTCAAAGTCACTTGCACTGCAGCCCGCAACATCAAGCGCAAAGGGGTTTCCGCGGCCCCGCTTCGATCTCTGGTGCGTCCCATGGGTTTGCCTTCGCTGACAGGTCTCGACCTTGACAAGGTCAAGGCTGCAAACAAAATTTACACTGGCCTCGCTCAATTTCTTGAATAGTTTGCGAGTCCAACGTCCCATGGACTGTTGAGAATCCCGAGTCGAGTATGCTTTGACAGCTGCCTTGTTTTGCACATTTGGTGAAAGCTTTCCCGAGGGTTAATTTCGACATGTGCTGCTATGGTGGCGCGCGTCTGACCCGCCGCACGCTGCTTACTTCCTGTGCTGCCATCGAACACTTTCGCCAGCGTTGTCCAGGTGGGCATGACCACCTCCCTTGGACGCCGCAACGCCGTGCTGATGGCACGTGGTCTTTTCCTACAGCCCAGGAAGCCGCCTACCCCAGACCATTTTGCCAACAGTTTGTGGCATTGGTTTTTAGGCACCTGGATCGTCCCTTGCCTTTGCATCCGTGCACGGTTCCGTCTGCCGCTGCTGCCACTTCCTCTGCCCGGCAACCTCGTGGGCGCAGGCTGCCTCCTGTCATGCCTGAGATCAAGCGCGTGCTTCTCTACCAGGTTCACGCTCTGCCACCTGTCGATTCAAAGCGTTGCATTCTGCAGCCCCTGCGTGATGCTCCTTCCGGTTCCAAACTTCTTTCTTCGACCTCTTTACTGCTAAACGTGGGTGATTTCGTGTCTTCGAGGAAGTTTGATGGTTCGGGTGCACTGGGACCGCAGTCGGCCGGCTCTAGTTTTGATGTCGGGTCTTCAGGGAAGTCTGGTGTTCCTGGGGATAAGGGGGCACACTTGACGAGCTCTAGCAGTGAAGTCAGCAGCTGTGAGTCCGTTCACGGTTCTGACAGTGATGCTCCCCGTGTTCGTCCTGAGGAAGTCATGAACGTGCTAGTGTTGCAAAGTGCGACACGAGAGCTTTCGAAGTGCGCCTTGGTGCGTACGCCTCGCCTGATGAGTTCCTTGATGGGTGTCGCGGGTTACTCATCCTTTCGATCACCTGCATGCAGCCCCCGATCGTCTCAAACAGTGCATCTTTGACATGTTGGTCAATGGGCCGTCCTGGGTTGTGCAACGGAGGGCGGCCCTGCTTAGGAAGTGGACGTCTTGCGCCTCCGATCTTGAAGGCGAGGAACGTGCTTTGAAGGAGACCCTTGATCCTCAGGTTGCCAAGGTTTTGCAGGGGAAAAGGTTAAAGCTTTTGGAGCGAATTGCCAGCTCCCTTGGTTGGGCTGACATGGGGGTTTGCACTGAACTTCGGAATGGGTTCGATTTGGTGGGCCATCACGAACACACTGGTGTTTTCGCTCACGAGCCCAGGCCACCTAATGTCTCTGAAAGTGGTTTCATCAATGCTACACAGTTTCTGCAGCTTGCTTTACTTGGGAAGATCCGCGCCTCTGCATCTGATGCAAATGCCCGCGAGCTGTGGGACAAGACCCTTGATGACGTGGCTGATGGCATTCTTGAGGGACCTCTTTCTGCTGAAGTGTTGTCGGCTCGACATGGGCCGTGCTGGCTCCCTACTCGCCGGTTCGGCGTTGAGCAGACCGGTCGCAAGCTTAGACCTGTGGACGATTTTACTGAGAATAAGGTCAATTTGGCTTTCGGTTCTATGGACAAGCTTGATCTTAATGTGCTTGATGAGTTGATTTGCATCTGCAGAATTTGGGTTCGGGCATTGAACGGGCCGCCCGAGTTCTCACTCACTCTGTCTACCGGTGCAGTCTTGAGTGGTCGTGTTCACGATGGCTGAAGGAAGGTTGGGTGCGAGCCTTTCCTCACTACCTTGGATTTGCGTGCGGCATATAAACAATTTGCAGTGTCGGCGAAGTCTCGTGCATGGGCAATCATTGCATTGCTTGATCCTTCGACTGCGGAGCCTGGACTGTTTGAGTCAAAGGCCCTCCTCTTCGGGAGTTCTGCTTCCGTGCTCCACTTCAATCGCCTTGCGCGCCTTTTCTGGCGCATCTTCCCGGTCATGTCTCGGTGTGGCATTGCTGACAAGACCATGGAGACCATGATTGCCCTGTGTAATCTTCTTGGGTTTAGGTTCGCTTCCGATAAGCTTTCACCCTTTAAGGCCCAGGCTACCATGCTTGGAGTTGAGGTTGATTGCTCTCGCTTTGCTGAAGGCTTGGTTCTTGTTCGTAACAAGCCGGGCCGAGCCGAAGAGCTCATAGCCTCTCTTGACGAAGTCCTTAAGGAAGGTTTGATTTCTCGGAAGCGTTATCTAAGCTTCGCCTGCAGTACACTGATTCATACATCCTTGGCAAGGCTGGACGACTCTTCATGGCAGAGGTTATAGGTCGTGGGCAAAGGCGCATTCCGGTCCTGAGCTGAGGCTCGATGATTGTGTTCGGCGATCTCTCGAGCGTTTGCTGAACCGACTTCGCTGTGGCGCTCCGCGTCATGTCCCTTGCTCCGTCGCCGATCATGCTGTGCACATCTACACTGATGGGGCGAGCGAAGGAAGCTCCCACACGGTGGGAGGGGTTTTGATGGTTCAGAACCAGATTCACGCTTACTTTGGTTGTTCCGTTCCTGTGGGTTTGGTTTCGCGCTGGGCCGAATCCATGTGTCACTTCATAGGGCCCATGGAGGCCTATGCCGTTGCCATTGCGAGGAAGGCTTGGCACCAATTCATCGCGGGGCACAGATGTATCTTCTATATTTCTGTATAGATAATGTGCCGGCGCAAGACGCACTCATCAGGAGCACGTCAGGGATATTCTTTTGTCTTTTGAGGCGGCCGAAGAGCTATGTGCTTCTTGGCCCTGGTTCGCCCGCGTCGCCAGCCAGAGCAATGTGGCTGACGCTCCGTCGCGTGGCGATTTCGCAGCCTTGCTTAGGTCTTAGGTCTGGTTGTCGTAGGATTTGTCCCTCGTGCCCCCTTTCTGGTTGTGACCTTAAGGACCTCTTGGCTCCCGCTAAGATTGCTAAGAAGGGGTGAAGGGGGCGGTCGCCAGACTGTGTTTCGCCCCGTGCAAAAATGAAGGACTGAGCGATTGCATCTTGCGCTGTATATCGAATCCGATTGGTGCTTGTGATTGGAATCATTTGCAAATAAACCTTTGAGGCTTTGTCATTGTCTATTGCTTATGTTTGAAAATCCGGTTATGAAAAGGATCTCAGCAGATAAGCGAGCGCCATCTGCGATCCCTTTTTCATATAAGGACCGCGAGCTTGCAGCGAGCATTTTCAAACTTTGTTTTCAAAAAAACTTGGCTTGTTTGCTTTTGCACCTGTATCGATTTTGCAGTGACTGTCAGTGCATCGCTTAGATTGGGCTTGAGCATTGGGAAATTTTCTGCCCGCCCTCCGCTCCCTTTGTGCTGCTCTGGCTCTGCGCGCCATTGAGCTTGCAACCTTCTGCATGCTGCTGGGGTTTTTGGGTGTTGAGCTCTCCGCTGAGCTCCACTTCTATTGCCTTCCGCCGCACTCACTTTGCGTGCCGCCGGTGTTGAGCTCTCTTGTGAGTTCCACCTGTGCCTGCCGTAGGTGTATCTGTGTAGCTGTAGCCGTAGGCTTTGCCAAGTACGCTGTTCTCAGCTGCTTGTGCTCTGCTCGTAGTCTGTATCTGTCCTGCTCCCGCAGTCAGATTTCACATGTGGTAGTCCGTGACTGGCGTACGTGCTGCTGCACTGTTCCCACCCTCCTCACCCACGCCCCCGAAGGGGGCGGTCGCCAGACTGTGTTTCGCCCCGTGCAAAAATGAGGGACTGAGCGATTGCATCTTGCACTGCGTTATATCGAATCCGATTGGTGCTTGTGATTGGAATCATTTGCAAATAAACCTTTGAGGCTTTGTCATTGTCTATTGCTTATTCTTGAAAAAGCATGCTTTTCTACGTGTTTTTAGCATGCATTTTACTTTCGCTCGTTTAGGTGTGCACTTGCGAACTTTGTTACGACCGAAGGCTTTTGTTGCTCAGGAGTGTGGAAAAATTCGTAAGAACTGAGGAGAGAAGGACACGGCCCAGGCACTACCTCGAGAGCTACGTCACCTACAAGTTCGCCAAGGAAGGAAAGAAGAGAAGGACAAGGAACAGACCCAGGCCTCGCCGCCTGGTCTGACAAAGCCTACTTCGACAAGATCATCGAGGAGGACGACGACTACCAGAACTTCGCCGAGAACGCCAACGAGGCTTACACGGAAAGCTACGTTGGAGGAGATCCCGGGGAGTACCCCGATAGAGGAGAAGAGGAAAAGGAAGACGAAGGAACAAAGAAGGCAAAGAAGGAAGAGGAAGAAGACGAAGAGGAAAAGGAGAAGGAGAGAAAGAGGAAGATCCGAGAGATCAACGAAGAGAGCAAGGACAAGGCAAGAGAAAAGGACAGAGAAACAGAAAACTTTCCGTACCCCTACGACTACGGCAACGAGTGGAAGGAGTACACCGAGCACGGCAATATCTACAAGCAGCACAGAGTGACAGGAGAAAAGGAATGGCTTGACTACGACCACAAGTACAAGCAGCAGACAGGCACCAAAGGAAAGGAAGACAAAGGAAAAGGAAAAGAAGGAAGACAGGCAAACGAAAAGGAAACCCAAAGGAGAGAGCAGAGGCAACAGGATTTCGACCCCGTGAGGAAGAAGATCGCCAATACTGGGAAGAGCAGGACAGGAAGTCACAGGAGCAGAAGGAGGCAAGAGCAGCAGCAGAAGCAAAGAAGAAGGAAGAAGAGGAGAACATCGCAAAGGCACGCAGAGTGCTAGAGGAAGCAGCAGCAGAACAGGAGAGAAGAGACAAAGAAGAGGAAGCAGCCGCAGCAGCCAAAGCAGAAAAGGAAGAAGCAGCCGCAGCAGCCAAAGCAGAAAAGGAGAAGCAGGAACAAGAGAAGAAGAGGAAAGAGAAGGAAGCAAGGAAGAAGAGAGAACAGGAGCAAAAGGAGGCAGCAGCACACATCGCCAGGAAGCAAGCAGAAAAGCAAGCGGCAGCAGGATCGGAAAGCACCGACAGCGAGAGCGAAAGGATCAAGAAGTTGGAAAGGATAAGGCAAGGATCGAAAGCCTTACACAGGAACTTGAGAAAGCAGAGGATCGGCAGCCGGGTCGCAGGCACCCACAGAAGAGGAAGGAGACACAGCACCAGCAAAGGAGCAGGAAAGGAAGAGGAACAGGAACAGGAGAAGGACGAGGAACTTGAAGGAAAAGGACCAGTGAACGAAGACTCTTTTCAGAAAGGAAAAGGTCGTTGGAGAGCACCAAGGAAACTGGTTTGCAGTCTACAGCTTTGGGAACAAAAGGTACCAGTGGAAGTGGAACGAGAACACGAAAATGTGGTACTGGTACTCAGGAACAGAAGAAGAAGGATGGAAGAAAGGAAGCCGTGACAGCAAAGGAAAAGGAAAGTGTCAGGCACAGGCCAAGCAGCTCAAGGAGTACCTCGAAAGCGAAGGAAAGGGCAGAGGAATAGCCACAGGAAGCAAAGACCCATAAGTCGTCGTGGTTGAAGACGAAGAAGAAGGAACCACAACCTTCCAGTGAGGCCAGAGAGCCAAGGAAAGCAGTGAGGCCAGAGAGCCGAGGAGAAGCAGTGAAAGCAGCAACACAGGAACCGTGGTAAAACTCTTTTTGTTTCTGTGGTACTTTCTTTGTACAGTTTAGCAACCTTGGAGAGGATTGCAAGTGAACGGCAACGTTTGCGTAGAGGAACAACTTTGGTTTTGGAGTGAAAAGGTGTCTACTGTCTTGTAAAGTAGGGAAGTGTCGAAGCCAGTTTGGTAAGGAACTTACCGGCACTAACTTCGAAGGCGGGGTGTTAAACCTGTGACAGTACAGCTGCAGGTACTACAGTGCTAATGCATAGACAGCCAAGTCACGCCTGTGACGCTGAGGCTCAAGACACCGGACACACTCCCGCGTGAGCAGGAAAAGTGACCGACAGTTTGTGTGAGTAGGAACCCTTAGTGTAGCCCGTTCTTTAACATGAACTACGAATCAACTTCACTGAAGATCGATCGATACGCAGACTTACGCCACCGTTGCGGAAGCAGGTGGAAAAATAGTCTTCTTGCACCACGGATTTATGGTACTTTGTGTGAGATCTTCGTTGTCCCTTGAACAACTCCTTCACAGCGAGAAACCGCAGGGCCGAGGTTCGGCATTTGTGGCAAGAGCCTTCACCTTGTTTGCGAGTTGCTTGCACTACATCATTGTAGAAGGTGAATGTCGCGTGAGATGGGCTTCGATGCCTTTTGGGAGGATAGAAAGATTCAGCGGTATTTGCTATACAAGCTTGTGAACGGGCAGGATATTGGTTGCTATGGCATGCATTGCAGAAAGAGGGGACAGGAGATTGGCCGGACATTTTCACTGTCGCCTGCCTGTTGGTTGGTTCTTTCATTGATCCATGCCACCCGTCTTTGAAAGGTCAACGGCGAACGACACGTATACGAGTCATGACGTTCAATTCAGTAGGGTCAAGCGAAGAGATTTTCACGGGTTTGTGCAGCGCAAACGAGCATCCGAACGAAGAGCTGTTCCGATGTTGATTTCGGGCACAGTGTCGGACACAGAACTGGGGTTTGTTGAGACCATCTGTTCTGGTTTTCTCGGTGCTTTCATCCAGTACTCTCGGGCCGACGAGCCGAGACCCGCCAGGCGGCGATATCATTCAGCAGCTTCGGAAGGGTTTTGCGTTCTTTAATTAAATTACAGCTCCAATCGCAATGCGGCTGATGTCGGTGTGGCCCTGGAAGCCTGCTACGCAGGAGAGGGGTTCCTATCGTGCTCAGGAAGAACAAGAAGCAGCACGCCAAATCATAGGAAAACGATCGTGAGCACTTCGTGAATCTTCTACCACAAATTTGTCATTGAGTAACGCGTAAGTGCGAGTTAAGACGGTTGTAAAGGTTGCCTGTCGGGCGGTAGTGCAAGTCCATGTTCCTGTGCGGCATTGCGCGGCATTCGGCGATCAATGGCATGCCGGCATGCCGCCTTATCTTCCGAAGTTTTCCCGAAATGGGTACAATTTCGGATATTTGTGTGATTGAAAGAGCACCCAAGCGCACCAGCCGAAGCATGTGGAGTGATGCTTACATGTCGTGATGGCATTTCTCTGTTTGTTATGCATAGGACATAGGACATCGCAGCTAGTCGGCAAGCAAAATGCAAGTACCTGGCAAGAAAAAGGAGTCGCCGGCGCCGGCTCTGCAGCGCAATGCCTCAGAGCCACTTTCTGGCTTTGGCAGGCGCCAGCCGGGTATCGCTTTGGTGGGGCCCGGGCCGCATTTGAGCCAAGGCAACTACCACGTCGTGCAGGCTTGTAGTAAGGACGTTGTGGGACTTGGCAACCTTTGGTAACTCAGACTGCTTGTCGTCATAGGCTTGATAACACTTTGTTTGCTCAACGGATAGTTCAATGAAATAGAGTGATCGGAATGCGCTTCTTGTTCAACAGTCTCGGACATGTCCGAAGCCAGTGATCGATTCACTGTGTGTTTCCATGTCAAGGAAATATTCTTCGATTAATGAGACCATGCTTTTCTGGTTTGGTTGAGTGCTTTGCGAATAGGGAAATAAGAAACCCAACAAGCCGCAGTCAGAGTACCACGAGCATTGCAGGTTTCCCGGAGGTCAAGCAGGAATGCTCATCAATCTGGCAGCTAGCACAGGACTAACTCAGGAGCACGACGTGTTTCACTAAGCTTATGCATGCTGGGGTCAGCTGCAGCAAACATGCTGAGGGTTGGTACAATCCTTGCCAAGAATGTCGTGTCTTCTGCCAGACGCTGAGAAAGCAGCCGAGCGATTCTGAGCTATCTCTGGGGTCGCGAAACAGATGGCAGTCTTTCATCCCAATTTCAAGACTGGCAAAGTAATCGGAACCAGGCCGGCCGAAACTCGCTGGAAAAACGTGGTGCGACATGAGATGGACATCGACTGTGTCACTGATTGCCTTCTGAGCCACTCGCGAGTCAATCGCGAATAGACTAGAGGATTTGCGGGGCAACTCTGTAGACATTGTGATGCCATGTGATGCCGTTGCTGCGTGCACCGATGCAATGCTTTGTCCTGGGATTGCATATTCTCGTGCTGTGGGGTCTCACCCGAGCTTTGTGAACGATAGTCATGGTTGGGTCGCTGGCCACACCAATGACGAGCACCTGACAGAAACGCCATAGCTCTCAAAGCCACCAAGGAGTGGCACCAGAAGTGCAAGCAAGAGTGCGGGATGTAGCCGCAAGCCACAAAGAGCGAATGGACAGCAGTTTTCGGAGTGCTTCTTCCCGAATCGCTGACCTCCTTGCCTTTGCAATCTTGCAGCGCATCCAAGCGGGGCACTCAACGCGTAAACAGGTCTTTGATGCAAGCATGACTGTTGCTCATGGATGCTGTTCCGAAGCCAGCTCACGGCCATCCGCATTGCGTTCTCTCAATGTAATGTCTCACTGGACCCGCTGCGCAGTACCTGCCTGTAACATGAAGTTGACATGAAATGTGCTTTCTTCATCATACTACAGTACTTGGTTCGTTGAGTAGACTCAAACGAGACATTGCCTGGTGTGGCTTTCTTGGGGTTCAATCAAAAATGCCCTATGACAATGACAAACTTGACTCTTCGTTCGCTTGTATCGCTTGTTTATGCCATCTACGCTTCTCGTCGTCGTGCATCACCGGCAAGCGGATATACAGTGTAACCGTCCGCGATCAGAAGGGGAGTTGCGGTCTCGCTCAATCGTCTTGGTGCTTGCGGATCACGATTCACTTCCCATCTCGGACGTCTATGAGGCAGTGCAACATGCAAGTGCTCATGGACCGTGACATGGAACTTGCAAGATGCGGCCAGACAACCAGCGACGGCATCCAAGTTGGCCTTCGCATGCCTACTTGGCTGACATGCAGAATACCGCAGAAGATGCAAACACAACTCCACCTTTGTGTACCAGTTTGGATGAAGAGACCGTTTGTTTTTGGCCCTTAGCAGGGCCACTTTGCAAGCAACCCAGCCACTGAACCGCCCTTGCCGAGCAGCCCCTGCAGACTGTACTGCGATGTCCTTGAAAAGCCTGGATGGATCAACACGGTTCTTCTCCACACCACGGCACACCTCGGAGCACCTGTCGGCCCGTGCAGTTGCTGCATCCAGGCTCTCTCGGGCACTGGTGCAGACCACCAGTTCTCAGCAGCCTCCCTGAACGGCCAAGCTGCAGAGCTGCAGTCTGACTCGCTATGAGAAGGTCACTGGGGCGCTGGGTGCTGGGGGAACACCGCTTTCCTGAGCCTGGCTTCGGCTGTTTCCATAGCCAGGATAGCAGAGAGCAGCCCAACTCAGCTTTGTATGATCACTGCTTAGAAAGAACCGCGACGACTCGATCGCTTGGGAGCCGTCTCCGACATCTGCAAATGCACCAGCTTAAGCTTCTCTCGGCTGGTCACCACTGTCCCGAGTACGTTCATGGCACGACTGAGCAAGTTGTGAAGAGTTATATCCATGCTCCGGGCGCCTCAAGACGAATGTCGACATCTTGAGCGTGGCTCAAGTGTCATGTCAAGACATGCGTTACGTTTTGCGGCTAGCGGCTAGCGATGGCTAGCGATTGAGACTTGCAAGCCAGGCGCATGCTCGCGGATCTGGACGAGTCGAGCGATTCGGAGCTCAGCACCTCCAGCAGCGGGACGGCTCGTGAGAAACCTAGGCGGCATGAGAAGCCCGCCAAGTAGCTATATACTAGCAGAGCATCGAGTAGCCTCAGGAATGCATCGAAACGGAGACTCCTGAAGCACGGTTGAGGGCTATGGTGAGAGGCTTTTTTGATGCATTGCGAAGGAGCCGAAGGTACCTTTGGCAGCGGTCCGATTCAGGCCAGGCCACGTGGGCATCACCCCAGAGTGCTCTGCCGCTAGCAGTCCCCTTGAAAGATAAATGAGCGACGAGCCTCCTCCAGCTGACATCAATCACGAGTGTAGAACACCATGCTCAGCAGTGGTTTACCACAAGTATCACGTCAAGCAATATCTTGCAGGGGGCTCTCGAACACCGTCGGTTGACTCCACCTCTCGCGGGCGGGGATCTCAGCCTGTGAGGACATGTCAGGAGCCTTCAGCATGTTGAGCTAGTGGAAGGCGTGTATGGTTCGTAAAGGCCTAGGGTCTGGAGTCAGGAGATCTGTTATGTTGGGATCGTTCTGTTGCTCTTCAGCCTGGGCCAAGAGCTCGAACAACTCAGGCTCCATGAAGAAACTTCGGCGAGCCAGAAGTTCCAGGCAGTGGAAGTAATCTTGTTTGGTGTCCAGAGCGCCAAGACGCGAGAACACAGTGCCGTGGATTTGCATTCCGATGGAGATGACCTTCCGTAAAACATGCCTTAAACGTGTCACAGCCGGAGCGAACATAGGAACCTATGTGTACGCCCGTGCAGAGCAAAGAGTGCAAGAGCGCTAGGGTGGTACAGGGAATACTTCAGAACTGCAGGCCGTGCCAGGTGAACTCAGCGTTTCCGGATCTGCCGTTGTAACGTTCCTTTCGAAGCTTCCACATATCAAGAAAGCTGCGAGCCCCAACTGGAAGTGACGGGGTTGATCACCGTATGAGTCTTATTTTCAGAAGCATGTCAGCTCATGTGAGCCTCCCAGCCTGTCAAGCATTTCGCAGCCGTCCCGGCAGCATCTTCGGGCCGCATCAACTTTCGTTGCTCCCGCATCACAGCTTGGGAAGGCACTCGAAGAGGTCGAACCAATCCAGCATTTGACGGACTTTTCGTTCGATGTTGGTCTTGGGTCGAAAATGTCTTTCAATCTGTGTCAACGTGAGGCTCACGTGGGTAGTAGTGCCCAGGACTGCCACTGGTGTCCGACTGTGTATGTGGAGAGGATCATACTCGCTGTTGCTTGGGCTGTGATGTCTAAGGCTGTCTTAAGAGTAGGGTCGAACACCACGCTGCACTTCCTGGAATTGCAGCAGTGGCAGCCAACATGCTTGCCTGGGAGAGCCCTTCAGACGCCGTGTTGCTGCGAGACTGTTGCGGCCGAGTCAGAAGTGCGCAAGTCCGCCCGCCTCGTGATCCTGAAAACCCTAAAAGCTTAAAGTCAAACTCATCGCCGCCCTAAGAGAGGCACGGCCGCCACCTGGCCCTCGATCGGCCGCCCCTGGCCGGAGCCAGCCTGGGCCCTGGGCCTCGCTAGCATCGGCAGCGTTGCTCGTGAAGGGTTCTTGTCACCTCCTTGAGATGCTGCTGGGCGGTCTAAGGTCTCGCTGTGCCGCAATTTTGTGTTTGGCCTCCCTGATATCTTTTCGGCATTCAACACCACACTCGAAGCAGTTTGCTTCTCTGTCATGTGAGTTTACCTTCTGTGTCTGTGGACGAAGTTTGCCAGGTGACTCCGAGTGTAACAGCTAACAGCAGCGTAGTGTCAATCCCCGTGCTGCACTGTAGCGCCGAAGAGCAGCACAGACCGCAGCAAAGCCGAAACCTTCGAAGCCTCTTACACTTCGCGTTCGCCCGGTGGGCCAAAGACACCGAGCGAGGAGGAGGAGGACCATGAGGAGGAGGAGGAGGACGAGGAGGAGGAGGAGGAGGTCGATGGTGGCGACGACACATGATCACCATGATGATGCTGCTGCTGATGATCACGATCTTCATCACAAGTCACTATGATGATGATCATGGCAATGGTGATGATGATGATGGTGATGGTCATGATGGTATCGATGGGAATGCGACGATAGTGCGGGTGTCGATATCGATACAGATGCGACATGATATTCTGCTGTTCTTGTTGCTGACGGCCATCGGCGATGTTGATGGTGATGTTGGTAGTGTTGATGATGCTGGTAAGAAGAGCAGTCCATTTTCCCTGAAGCCGGTACCCCCGTCAATCCCGCTTGTGCGTTGGTGGACGGCAACTCCGTCTGGACTAAGGCTCTACGAGCTGCAAAAGCCGAAGGGGTCTGGCAAGGCCAGATTTCACAGTCACAAGCTCCCTGCCCTGTGCCGACAGAAAAACGTGTGTTCGTAGAGACAAGCGTGCGTAGCGAGAACCAGTTAGCTTCGAGGGAAGTACAATGAAGTACAGAGCTGCAGCGTTGAGTTGGCAGCGAAAGCCCGAAAAGCCAGGTTCGAGCTAGCAGCCTTTTCGTTGCTTCAGAAACAAGCGAGGTCTTCAGACGGTCATGAACGCGAAGTTCGCTGACCTAGAACCCTTGCTAGAGAGGTCTGATCTGGACGAGCTGGTCGCCTCTCGCCGCAGCATCCAGCTGAGCATCGAACGTCAGTTCGAGCGCTAGTTCGAGGAGCAAGAGGCGGCGCAGGTAGCAGCAGCCACTCGCCGCGGAGGGCCGGTGCCGTGGCAGCACAGGGTCCCAGCACTCCGGAGCCGGCCTTCGCGGCCAAAGAAGGTGGACCCGCCGCCCTTGGTCGTTAGCAAGAAGGGCAAGGGCAAGGGTAACAAGGCCGAGTTGTCGTCTACGGGGCAGGGCACGGCCAAGCAGGCCGCAGTTAAGGCGACCCCGGCACAGTTTTTCACACGCGCCGACGACGGTAGAGGACATGCAGGCCGCCGATGCTTTGACAAGGGTGGTGCCGCGCCAGGTCGCGGTGGTCGACTTTAACACCCTCCACGACTACCTTGATGACCCTCCTCTTCCTCCACCGGAGGTGGAGAGACGAGCCCGCCACTGAGCCTTCAACGAGCCTGATAATGGCCATCATGTCGCGTGCCCCATGATCGCTGGGCGCTTTGGACCTACACGGTGCACTGGAGCCACTCAGGGCCAACGCGTTTGGTCGAAGAACACCCTTAAGACAGAGCTTAGACGGTGGATCGGGGACCCAGCGGTCGACAGACTCTTCAACAGATCGCTCTGCGCAAGCTCGATCCCGGTCGGACACTCCGGTGACTCCGGTGGTACACCCGTACCAAAGTGGTTCCAGAGTGGCCGCCGCGGCAGTCCGAAGTGAGAGCACCATGTCGAGGGCCGACGAAGAGTATCAAGAAGATAAGTTCGCTAAGACTTCTCGAGGCCCCCGAGAATCTCGATGGAAGCCGTGGTGTTCGCTTGCGGAGCAGAGGAATCTTCCCCCGCTGCCGATTACGGTCGATCTTATTGACAAGGTGGGAGCGCTTCTCAAGATCGGACCGCAGCTCAATATTGCAGTGTGGCGAAGGGCGAAGTCTGAACACAGGTCGCAAGGATACGACATGGTCCCCGGCCCTCGACCATGTGGTCGCTCAAGCAGTCAGATCAAGTTCCAGGGGCATGGGACCTTCTTCGGCTAAGCTCGACTTCTTTTTGGAGGTGTGTACTCGCAGTTTCTTCGAGCAAGACGCTGAGAGAGCTAACTCCAAATTGCAGGTGCCCGAGTCCGCGAGGATCGACTCCCCTTCCGACACGGGGATCGTGGCCGCATGGTTTCTGCTTCGGGGCTTGGAGATCTCTTCGGTCGTATGCGAGGATGTCACATTCTCGCGAGCAGGCCTCGTCAAGCTCGAGTTACCTATCTCCAAGAACGATCCCACAGCAAGGGGATGCAACAGGACACATGCGTGCATCTGTTCACGTTCCCATGACCCGGGCTGCCACAGGTCAGGGGACCAAGCTCTTCTCTTCACACCGTTGCAGTGCTGCAGTTGTTCGCTCGGGAGACATCCCCACAGCGCATACCATGCAGCGCTTGGCTGCTCAGTTCGGTTGCGAAAGGCAGGTCGCTGGAGTGCTAAGGCACCGAATTCTTCGGTGACGGTAACGGCCCACCTTCAGGTTCTCAAAGACTGGCCACGCCACATACTGCAGAGATGGTAGCAGCACGCGGTGCCCATCTTTTCTTCGCTAGAGCAGAGCTGGACTTGCATGTCATCATGCTTATTGGCCGCTGGGGCAGCCAGCCTTTTCAGGTACGTCCAAGAGGCCGCCGTCGGCCTCGCCTCTGCGCCGTGGTCACCCCGGCAACTGTCTGGGAGAATGTTTTGTCAGAGCGGAGCGCCTGGCCATAGCCACTTCCCAGGATGCCTTCTTCCAGTACATTGTACATCCTGATCTGATCGAACCGGGAAGTATTGTCCCGGCTGATGTCCTTTCAGGAGGCGAAGTAGTCGCGCACCTTCGGCCCCCAACGTGCGGACATAAAGGCGAACTTGTTTGCCTCGAAGGCGTCGAGCATCCTCATGAGTCTCTGTGGCTCGGGTATCGTCACTATCGTCCGTACAACGTTCCGTCCTCTGCTGCGAACAGCTTGGTAGAGGGTTCTGGTTGGCAGTAGCTTGCCGCGAAAAGAGCATCTCGCCCAGCGGGAGTGCGGAATAAAGTCCAAACTTCTTTTTAGCGACCATGCGTCCCAGATTCTTCTCTGCTCCTACCAAGAGATGTGCCGGAAATCGTCGGTTGCGACCATCCACAAGTCGTGCCAGTACCCGGCTCACCTTCGCGGCCGCGACCCAAGCAACTCGAGGACCGTCGCCTGGTCGATGAGGAGCTCGTCTGCCGAGCATCGTTTGGCGTCACCATGCAGCTCGACACCGGACCGGCCCTCAGCGGGTTGCATGAGACCTTAGCAGGGTCTGCAAACGCCCGGCACGTCCACTCCTTTGGCCTTAAACAGCAACCGAACCGCAGGGTGGACCGCCGTGTTGTCGCTCATCTCGTCGAACGACATGGGGGCGGCCATGGCCTGCTCTCCCTTATGCGGAACTTCTGGGGCGAACCTGTGACTCGAGCACTTCAGCGACCGTCTTCTCCTCAGGAAAACACCCCGGGCAGTGACGGAAACCTGGAAGCAACGTGGGTTACGCTGGCAACTAGCGGTAACTAGCGTTACCGTACTTCCCGTGCAGACTTCCAGCTGCCGGAAGGCGCCGAGCATTCGGTGGCGCAAGGCTTGTGTTCCTTGCCTTGACCGAACGGGATGTACAAGGACACCTTGGCCTCTAAAAATAGTCCGCGACCACCGCCCGAACGGGCGAGCGGCTGGGAGGATCACGAGCTGGGGTGAAGGTGCGTTGAAGGGATCCGATACGGTAGTGGGAGGCACTCTAAAGTGCGTGCAGACCTTCAAGGAAGAAGCGTTGGTGTCCGCTGTGGACCACGAAGGGGCTTGCCGTTCGCTCCCCGTTCGCGAACCGACAGAGTGCTGGTCATGACTCTTTGGTCGCACTTCACCTTGCGTTTCGGTAGGTTCGGTTCGCGGTTACCTTCGGGTCGCTGACGTGGTGGCGTTCTTGAGCATCTCATTCTTGCTCATGTTCGCAGCTCACTACGTCGATGACTTTTTCTCCTTGGAGAGGTGGTCAACGGCTTCAGGAGCGTTCGCAGTGTTTCAGGCCTCCGGATGAAGGAAGAGAAGCCGAATAGCCCCAGATAGAACAGACCTTCTTGGGAATCGAGTGGTCGCTCACACGCGAAGCTGTGTTCGCGTCACCGGGCTCGAGGAGAGTCCAGAAGCTGGTAGAGGTGAGCGAAGGATCCTGACGTCAGGTCGCTTCGCAGCTGACGGGCGAACTGTGCTTCACGTGCACGTGGGTGTTCAACAATGTGGGTCCCTCCTTCTTGCAACCGTTGTACTAGAGGCAACACCACGACAGTCCTGGCTCGAGTTCACTGACTCCCAGAATGAAGCAAGCGTTGTGTCAGCTGAAAGGGCTGCTCCCTCGTCTCCAGCTGGGCCACCCACAGAGGAGCGAGGGAAGCCAGTGGCCCATTTGTACGTAGACGCTTTCGTGACACTCCGCGGAGTTCGCAGGACGGCCAACAATTAAGTGGCTGCCAGACCTGCCGTCACTTCAAGAGTTGAGCCAGTCGACAGATGGCTTTGCAGCATTGGTCGCGATACCAGGCAGAGAACCTTTGGGCGTCAAAGGAGAGATCCCACCTGGCCAACCTGGCCTCGTCCCGAGCTTACATCTTCTGGCCTGAAGCTCTGACGCAGGTAGTGTCGCTGGCTACAGTGTGCAACCTGTTCGACTGCCACGTCTGCTGAGCCTTGAGTCAGGCTACGCCCCTAGGTACCTAGTAAAACTACAAGGAGAAGTACTGAGACAGTTTGTACAGGAACATGTTCAGAGTTTCGTAGCAAAGCTAGCAACCGTAGGAAAGAAGTTTCACGACGTCGTGCATGAAATAGTTCAGGAAGTCATTTCCAACAGAGTTGTATTTCAAGGAAATCGCATAGCAGTGTTCTTAGGAACCCCAATGGGACTGATTACTTGGATCACCATTCTAGTGTGTTTTTCGCAGAAGCCAGCAGAAGCTCAAAGCACCAAAGGAAAACAAGAGGAGAAAGGAGAGCAAGAGCAGTGAGCAGGAAGCAGTGCAAGTCACTACTTTTAGCAGCACTAGTGTACCGCAACCTTGAAGCAGCGATAGGAATGGAGGATGCATGGAAGCAGCTTGCAGAGATCAATGCGCAAACACTACAAGGAATACAAACACTAGCACAGGGAATCAGGACCTCAGCAGCGTCAGGCAGCCAGAGCGAAGCAGGACTTACGCAAGTATTTCAGGAAGCACTTACAGCAGTACAGGAACAGCAGAAAGCGGCGCAAACAGCGTTGGCAGACGCACACTCAAACGCAGCAACGACACTTGAGGAGATAGGAGCATCTCTGGAGAAAGCAGTAAAGGAACGGAAGCCTGGAGAGTGGAGTTGCACAAGTTGATTAAAATCCCCTGAAGCATTTTCCCCAGGAACATGGCAAGAAGAGAAGAGTGGATGGACGGAGTTCAGGAACAGGATGCGGATTTGGCTTGGAGCAGTGGATTCCCATATGGTCAAGATCATGAACATCGTTGAAAGGAACTTGAAGAAAGACAAGATGGTTAAGATGGATGAAATTTCTGGAGAAGCAAAGGAAGCAAGCCGCCGCCTGTACAGCGTACTTTGTTCGTACACCAAAGGAAGGCCTTACCGTGTTGTAAAGCATGTAGCAGAGGAAAACGGTATGGAAGCCCACCGTATGTTGATGAA